TGTTAAGCGGGTAATTTGGTCCGAAAATTTGGCTAGAGACAGAGGTTAGTTAAAATGACCCCTCATGATAGTTGAGGGGGATTTTTTGCCACAAAAATTCATAGAGGAGTCAAGAGGGATTATTTGCAATTCACCCAATTTTTTATTTTTTTATTATTTTAAATGTAAATATACTTGTCAATTTAGTAGTGTACCACATATAGAGCTGCAAATGAACCGAGCTGTTCATGAACAACTCGGGCTTGGCTCGCTCCAGTCTCAGCTTGGGCTCAGCTCGTTTACTAACGAGCCGAGCCCGAGCCAAATTTTCAAGCTCGTTTACTAAACGAGCCGAGCCTGAACAACGTTAGGTTCGGCTCGTATAAGCTTGTGAACAGGGGCTCGACAAGGTTCGGGCTCGGCTCACTATATATATATATATATATATATATAATAAGTGACACATTAAAAAACATAACTTAGCATAACTCGAACCCAAGACTTGGGTACAAAAGAATTTAACTTCTAACACTCCTACCAGGCTACCACTAATCCACTTTGTGTTTTCAAAGTACAACATTGATTAATATATACTAATATACATATACTAAATAGATTATCAAAGACAATTTTAATAGAATCAATAACTATACTACAATTTTTTTAAGCATTATCGGTAGAAATGATAATTATTTTAAATTAATAATTTACATATTAAAAGCTAAATACCACAAGAATAATATCAAATAAACTAATATTGGAGAATCATCATCATGTTGATCTAAAGCTAAACACCAAAATTTTGTTTTTAGTATAAAATATATTTCTTATTTTCTTTTTATAACTTTAATTGGGTTAAATAGTAGAGGTAGGGTCCAACAAATTGCTGTCCTCGCCGTTCTCTGTCATCGCCGTCTGTTGTCCTCGTCGTTCTTTGTCATCATCCATCCTCTCTGTTTGCTGTCCTCGCCAGATTTTTTATAATTACAATGATGGTATCAGAAAGTTTTTAGCATTGATTTATTATAGAGCACGAACTCATTGATTTTTTATAATTACAATGATGGTATCTGAAAGTTTTTAACATTGATTTATTATAATTACAATGATGGAGCATGAAATCCTTGATTTTTTTGTGGAATATTAATTAATTTTGAGAAGACACGAGCCGAGCCCGAACTTTTAAAATTAAGACGAGCCTGAGCTCAATTTTCTGAACTCGTTACAAGCCGAGCCCGAGCCATAGCAGACCCTATAAACAAATTAGTCGAGCCGGAGCAGACCCAAGCTCGACTCAGCTCGGTTCATTTGCAGCCCTAGCCATATACGTGGTAAATATAAGTTTTCTATTCACCGGTAACTAAACAAGTATTGTCCGGTATTATTATTATCTTAGATGCACAAATCTAAGTCTAAAGTAAATTGTTTTAATGTTAAATGCACGTATTTAAAACTAAAAGTTTTTTCCAAAATAAAAAAATAAAAAATAAAAAAAATAAAAAATAAAAAGAAAAAGAAATAAAGTCAAATGGTATATTTGAATGCATAAGCTGGTCCACCATACCCAATGGTCTAAGACAAGATGAACCACAGATTACTTGGACCACATAAGCAGCCTACCATGGTGGTTCAAACACATCTTTATGACTAACACAATGACGTTTCTTAAGTTCCGCGCTTAGCGTGACACTTGATCTGGTTTTAATACCAATTATAATGAGTGGGTGTTTCATTATCCAACCCAAAAACCTTAAGCTATAAGGTGGGGTTAACACACAACCCATATATATCCAATCACTCTCCCATTAAGATTCGCGACAAACTCCCCTTATTACACCTAGCCAGCAATGCATTATAATTTGCATCATAATTAAACACACTCATATATATATAATTCATGAGCACAATTTGATGGTTT